TGGATGTCTTCTTTTCTAAAAGCTCTCCCTCAGGCCGGGATTCAGAAAAGGACTAATTCCTCTTTAGTCAGTTTCTTTAAGACTAGATTCGAAGCACACCTTAATTTGCAATTCCCAGAAAGTGCCCCTAAGCAATAAATAGGTTGTGTAGTGAAGCAGCCTGAGAACCAGCATCCTCGGGGACCGAAGAAAGAGAGCACTTCCCATCCATCTCAATTCACACCCTGTTTGGCCCCTCGGACTCTCATCCCCGGCCACTTAACATCACCTTTGAAATACCATGCAGTTATAATTATGTCGTTCTTTTTCCTTCTTCTCCAAGTGCAAAGATAGTGTTTCTCGTGTATCAGGTTTCCATTATGAAGGCATCCAATTTGCTGCGGCAGCCAAGTGTTGCAGCTGCACACAAAGCATCAAATCTAGTCGTCTATTTGTCTCCTTGAAGGTGCAAAAGATCAGACGCCAAGACGTAATTTAATCCATTTCAAAAGTGTTCACAGTTGCTTTGCTTCTCTGCTCCGCTCCAGGTGTTCCTACATCGTCTCAACCAGTATGCGGCCACCAAAATTGACAAGAACATCACAGAGGAGACTGTTAAGGTGAGGGTCAATCTGCGAGGTGTTGGACGGCATAATTAAGAATTACTTTTTACACGGCGCACAGACCCTTTCTTCAAGCAGTAACATGAGCCGGGAAAAGGCCGGAAATTACATTGGACTCTGAATAAAGTGAGTCCCTTGTTTGGGGTGCTCTTTCAACCTTAAATTAGCCAAGTTCCGAATGGGGGGAAAAAAGAAGTGGGCGATCCAGGAAGCAGCTGTAAATATAATCCATTTATAAGCGATTCCGGCTGGAGAATAATAAAGGATTCTCTCTCACAGTGGGAGAGTGACCGTTTCAGTGGGCTTGCTTACACTTGGAGGTAAAATAGACATTCAGTGGATATTTACTGCACGTCTCCTGTTTTGGAATATGTCCATGCATGCTATGTTTTGTTTGGGAACAAGCTGTACCGAGAGGGGTTTCAGTGATGTCACCAAGCAGCTGCACGACATCCAATCCTCTTGGAGCAGAATTTGCATTGACGAAATTCACTTCATTTTCTTTTTTTTGCCTGTCGTTAGCGTCACAAAAAATATATATTTTCCCCACCACCAGAAAAGGATGGTCTGGTTTTCATGCCCTTGATTTTCTTTCACTTCCCTCTTCCTCCGTGCAGAGTCAGCATGTCCTTTACAATAATCGCAATAAAAAGCACATAAGTGGGGACAGAAGTTAAGACCACATGAAGGAAGCGTTCTCATACAAAAGTCTTCAAAAAAACTGCTTACTAAAAAAAGTATCTAATCAAAATAATGTTTGAAATGCAAATTTCTAAATTTCGACATCTAAAGCCAAGATTTCCATTTCTTAGAAACTTCACTCTTTATTGTGTGGCTTCAGGAATTTGCCCAATTCCATATCTGCACAATAAAAGCAATATAATCCAGTATTGCTTTTATTGTAAGTATTGATTCGGGCCGTCGGAGGAAAACTGGTAAATTAACTAAAAACCCACATAACATGCGGTTTTTCTATCTCAGATTTTATTCTCTAACATCGAGGAGATCCTGGCCGTTCACAAAGACTTTCTCTCCATGGTGGAAGAGCTGCTCCAGCCGGACCCTCATGCTCACCATGAAATCGGCCGCTGCTTCTTGCACTTTGTAAGTATCACGTGCGTCTGCCGTTACTTAATGCCTCCTCTTGTCATCATTTCAACCCCTTGTCCAAGCCTTTATTGTTCAGTCGCATCGATTTAAGCACCGCTTGCAGTAATCTTTTGTTCATCTAAAGAATGTCTCTTCTTCCTTAGTGTCAGAGCTCCAATCCCAATTTATGCCTCTGAGCGCTGCTGAAAATGATAAGATACACCACATGTTGTCGATTTATCTCTCTGGATTCCCCACAATGAGAGCTCGCACATGTGAGACATGCATGACACGGTTCTGACATACTGCTCACGCCTGCTCTGTATCATATTTCTTTGATGCTGAGCCTGGAGGCACACTGGCATATAACAGGGATTGAAAGTCTAATAAATCTTTCCATCCTTTTGTTGGGCGTCTCCGTGGCCTGTAGGGAGCTAATGAAACAGGTAAAAGAGAGATGACAAATTGGATATAATTCCCTGCAAAACTGAAAAGTCCGTGACCATAATTCAGTCATGAGTGTTGGTGTGTGTCCATTGGGATAAGACTTGGACACATTGTTTCTCTTATTATGCAGTTGTTGTTTTTTTTCTTTTCGAAATGTCTTTCTCAGTAGTGATATGGTTATTCTCTAAAATTTCCAGGAAAGAATAACTCAATGTAACTTTACTACGAAACACAAATAGTTGAGTAAGCCAGCTGGACCGTGGAGCTGCTCACATCAAGATCCCTCAGGCCTGCAAATGGGTTATCGCTGACTTAAGGCTCTCACTTTTCCCCTTTGGACTAAAATCAGTTCTCAGGGCCAAGCAATTATATATTTTCGAGGTTTGTAAACTGACCTATTAGAAAAACAGGATTCAGCGAGATAGATGTTACTCTACGGGTCTACCAAAAGAGGTCTATTTGCGTAGTCGTAGTAGTAGTAGTAGTCGTGTCTCTCCACATCAGCCGCTCTGTCTCATAAGACCGAGCTGCGTGACAGAAGACCGGATGCTGTTTTTGCAGCTCTGTACTGACTTTATAGTGAGTGATTTAGAGGCCGTGCGGTCTGGTCCCACTGCTGCCCCTCAAAGACAATGGAGCATGAATGTCATGACAACGGCTCTGGTGGAAAGTTGTCGGTAATATAGCTGCAAGGCAGATGGGACCCCCACAACCCCCCTGCACACACACACACACACACACACACACACACACACACACACACACACACACACACACACACACACACACACACACACACACACACACTCACACCTGATATACATTATTCATCTGATGGAGATGATGGAGAGGAGCGTGTGGGGAAGAATTCAAACCTACAATGAGTGCTATGATTCACATGTCTGCTCTGAGGTCTGTTTATTCGTTGTTTCCTTTCTTGTTCTCCGTTTTACTGTCTTTTTTTATTTGACATTTTTTGCATTGATTTCCCTCTCTTTCTCCTCCATTCCTTTTCACTCATGCGTCCTCCCCGCCTTGTCTTTCTCCGTCTCTCGCAGAGGACTCGTTTCCAGATTTACGATGAATACGGTGGGAATCACGAGAAGGCCCAGAGGCTGCTGCTGGAGCTCAGTAAGATCAGGAGCGTTCGGACATGTTTACTGGTGAGAAGGCGCCGTGAAGATGCACTTACAAGAGTGTATTTGAATATCGGTACTCGTGCAGGAGTCAGTTTGGTTTTTTCAAACCCTGCTAACACACACATGATTGATACTAACAGACAGTTTAATAGCTACAACCGACTAATTTGGAAATTCTTCAAATGTAAACTGAAACTCAAACTGAGTTTAACAGTTATTTTCTCTTTCTCTAGTTTTATATAGTTAAACATCCACACAAGGGGAATATAATGGGAAGATATTTAAGGTAACTCCAAAAGCGCCCACACTAAAGCCCAGAAGTGATCAAACCTACTCTTGAGAACTGCTCACGTATGAAAACACACCTCCTCAACCTCTTAGACACACAGACACAAAGTCACCCACGCATTGCCGACAGTGTTAAACCCAGAACTCAACGTTCCGGCGTGTCTAACAGCTGATGTGACTCTGCCCATTTGTGTGGGCCGCTTCCTTCTCCGGGCGGCGGGAGAGTTGCACTTTCCGCAGGGGAAACGTTGTGTTGCTACAGCAGAAGACGACTACACCCCCCCTGCTGGCCGCAAACCGAAAGCTCTTTGCTTGTTGCTATTTTGCTTTTTTTGCACCACCAGAACAACCGCAGTGTGACCACAGACCGGTGCATAGATTAGCATATCTCCTCCTAGTAACTGAAATTGATAGAGTAAGGGATGGAGCACACACATGCACACACTGAACACACACCATCAAAGGGGGCTGCAAGAGTCTTATGTCTGATTTACTGTTCACGAGTGCCTTTAATCTGGGAAGCCAGAGGAGGTAAAGATATTAATTGACTTTGATTTAATGGCGCCATTATAGCTTTGACCTTTTGGTTACCTCCCCTTCCTTACGGGCCATATGGGTCTCGTGTTACCGTCAGACCTACAATTAGCTACAGCCTAATATACCTCAGGTCATACCTCCCCAGCCTCGCAGTGACCAGGGGGAGGATATCTTCTGACCTCCACTAAACCTTTGACAACTGGCTGCCATAAAGCCCCGGGTTCTTGTTTACGCTGTAATACGGCACCTTGTTGATATTTCAGGTAAGAGGGAGGTGAAAATGAATATTAGCCGTGACCCTCAAGCCTGTGTACCACCACATGAAGGTCAGGGGTCCCTTTGATTGAGTGAAGGCGAAGTCTTTTATACATATATATCAGAGACATATCTGAGACATTATGGGTTGGATTAGCGAAACTGAAAATACGGTCGCCATTCTCATGTCACTTTATATCTTGACTAATTCATATTCAATGCGTACAGCTCCATCTCCTCGAAATGGTTGCCAATGGCAACCTGGAAAGCTTTCTTTCTTTCAGGTTCTGCTCACTCAAAGAACTTGTAACTTCACTGCTGATGCTACTGACAAAACCGTCTCATATATTACTCTGAAAATGTTTCTACAATGAACCTCACAGCCTCACAGACCTGCCAGCTTTCCGCCTCGTCAAACCTCCTCCTCTCTCCTGCAGAACTGCATGTTGCTGGGAGGCAGAAAAAACACAGAGGTCCCACTGGAGGGTTACCTGGTGGCTCCTATACAGCGGATCTGCAAGTACCCACTGCTGCTCAGAGTGAGTATGATCTTGTGCATGCAATGGAAGTATTCTAGAGATACCGCAGATAAACACACACAGACACCCTGTGTACTGCACCTTCTACTCCTCGTATCACTCACCGCCACCCAGTCATCGGTTTTGGGCTTCCTCGTCCCGTCCACATCGACCTCTCCCTTCGCTAATGAAACACCGATCTCATATTCTGACACGTCCGCTCTCCGCTTCGGTTTCCCGGCACTGACACGTCGTAGTAATAACACGAGAGCTTTCATCGCCTTCCCCACCCAACTGTGCGTTCAGACACTTTGACTGGGCTCATTCATACCTGCACTGTCAGTGGTTGGTTTTTTTCCGCTTCCCAAAGTAAAAACGCGAGCGAAATTAAATCCGCTTTCAAAGTCTCGTCTGAGTCTTGTGATCTGAGCTGCCGCATCTCATTTGTCGTGCTGCGATCTATTAATTCACCGAGGCGTTCTCCGAACAGCCACCAGCACGGGCACAGAGATGTAGTAGTAATAATAATAATAGGGGGGGGGGTGGAGTAACCCGATACTCCGCCATTTGAAGTTTCCCAGCTGCCAGGGCCTCTCGCTCTGAAATGACACAGATAGCCATCGCTGGCCGCAGATAGCTCCAGAACAAGTCCAACCTGTAGCGTAGACTGTAGGCCCAGCGATTGTAGACCGATTGTAGACCGCGGCTTACAGTTGCAGGGTTTTTAACCACCAAACTCAGGGGAAACTACTGTGAGGTGAGGAGCTTGTGGAGTGAGAAAACAAACACATTGTCTTTTCTTCTTTGCACATTTAATTATGTCTTAAATGTGAATCATACAATGAAATATCATCCTTTGTGGTAAATTCAGCCATGTCATTCAGCCAACAGTTGGATTTGCCGCAAATTTTGCAGGAAGATTTGACAGTTGTAGGCAAGGTGCAGTAATGAAAACGTGGGTCTCAATCATTGCGGGAACTATTTTTTTCATGTCCATCTCTGTGTGTTTTTTGCATTTTCAAGGAGCTGCTGAAAAGGACTCCTAAGAAGCACCATGACTACGTTCTGGTGCAGGAGTCCCTGCAGGTGATGAAGGCCGTGTGTTCCAGCATCAACGAGGCCAAGAGACAGATGGAGAAGTTGGAGATTTTGGAGGAATGGCAGTCCCACATAGAGGGCTGGGAGGTGGGGCTCAAACTAACTGCATACACTGTGTTGAATGATTTAATATTACCCAGTAAATGCAATTTAAATGGCTGCATTGACTGTCTTGCCATGTAGTCAGAGTTGAATTGTAGGTTGCTCACTTTTTAAAACATAGGTAACCTCCCCCCCCCCGTCAAAGCTCAAAGTCATGACATATCTAAAGCCACTTAGCCCAATGCCAGCAATGCAACCAGACATTCCAAGTGGCGTGACTTTTGTCAGCCTTTTAAGCCGTTTTGTTCTCCCTGGGAAAAAAGTACTCGTTTTCACAATGGTCAAATTCTTTCCGCCTGGATGAGCCTGCAGTTAAAGCCGTTTGAGGGTCACAATTCAATCATCATCAGGCAGACGGAGCCTTTTGGTCGTTTCTGGGATGCCGTAATAAGGGGTCAGGTGGTCGCTATCAAAGAGGCATTTAAAAAGGCTTTTAGCGTGTTTTGTTGTGCTTTATAATAAAATATACTGAGGCAACAGAAATATTTAGTTTAAGAAAAACAATCCACTCCGAGGGATTTGGAAGGGGGACAATACCATTTTTTTGACGAAACGAGGCAAAAGATGTAGAAAGGAAGAGAAAAAAAACAGAGAGACGATTGAGTGACGTCTCTCACTTCTGTGTGGGCGTCTGAGGAATGACGGACGGGTTGTGAGAGCCGCTGTTTCTTCTGTTGCTGCTCCTCTGGATTGCTTGTTAGTGCTGACCTGCTGCACAGCTGGCCGCCCTCGGGGCCTCCTGGCGGGTTCACCTCGCGTGGGAGAGACAGGGCGATGTCCCGCAGTGGTCGCCATGGCGAGGGCGCTGATTACCAGTTGGTTTGCGTGGCGAGGGGTCTGTTTTTCGTCACTGTGTAGTTTCCAGTTGAATGTACCCTCACATTCTGTTTTCTTGTCAGAGTTCTTGAATCTCGCGTTGTGGCACTCGATTTGGCTTCTTTTGATAAACGAAATCGACAAATCACTTCAGAGCTTATTGGAATTTTTTTCCACCAAAAGCTTTTGATGACTAGAATTTTCTGCCTCGTTCTTCCTAATTTGTCATCTTCAGTTGTTATGTCTGGCTGTTGTCTTGCTATACAAATAGAGGGTTGAAATTTAGAATAAACAACTTGCTTAAGTTTCTGAACACACCCTCTGTGGGGCTTTGGCTCGGAAAAAGATCAGTGTTGAGAGTGATAAAAATGATGCTGAGTAACAGAAAAAAAGCGAACAAATGCTGCAGGAAAAGGAGTCAATAGAAAGCGGGTTCTTTTTAAAAGTGCATGAAACATAAGTTTTAGTCCTTCCATCTATAGTTTGGACATGTGTGATGTTGCAGTGAGGACCTTGAGGGTGAGTTTGCATGTTTGGTTTGCTCACACTCACTTAAACATCTGGTCGTGATCAAAGGCAGCTGAAAGAGCGGGAGGCTAAAAACAAAATCGTGTAGGGGAAGAAATGGAAGAGATAGAGGAGCAGACCGGGGGAAGGGTGAGGGGGAGAGGGGGGGGCGGAGAGGGTGATCTTCAGAAGGGGGGGAGGATAAAAAAAAAAAAGGGTGAGGAGCGAAAGAAGGAATAAGTTTTGGCTCACTGATGTCTCCAGCAGGAGGGAATGCTTAGCACATTTTCCGGCTCTGTGCGCCTGGGGGTTATTTTTAGACCTGGAGGGGCCGATCAAACGTGCTACATAAATTCCCAGAGAAGGCAAGGTGATGGGACAGATCACTTGCAGCAGGAGCCCCGGCCAATGTAGTGACCAGGCGCGACCAGTGCAACGCGTGGTCCGAGCGGACGGGATGTTTTCCTATAGAATCGATTAACGGCCGTCCAAATTTAAAGTCCCGCAGCGATCTGCTGTGAGGAAGCAGAGTGTTTTGACAGACCCCTGAGAGAGCGAGAGAGAGAGGGAGAACAGGAACGCCTGGGCTTTGTAATCCCTCCTCCTGTTCAGGCACTTTGTGTGAATGATATAGAATTTTGAGACTTTACATTTATTTATAATTGATTTATTTATTATATTTATAAAATGAATTTATGTCCATGCAGTTTCACTTGACCCTTCCTTTTCTTGACCTTTTGCCCACATGTCTGTTTTGCAGGGCTCCAATATCACAGATACATGCACCGAGATGCTCATGCACGGCGTCCTCTTGAAGATTTCAGCTGGAAACATACAAGAGAGGATTTTCTTCCTGTTTGACAAGCTTCTGGTCTACTGCAAGAAGAAAAACAGGTGCCTTCACCCTCCTTTATTCATTAATCTACTGGCAAAATGAACAAATCAAAAGATATATATTTTTTCCATTAGATTTATCTTTTTTAGAAGAATGATACTGATGCTTTAATACGGCCTGGTGCTCCATGTGCTGCATTCCAGCAGATCCATTCATGACAAAAATAAAGTAAAAGGGAGAAAAAATCCCCTGACGGTAATTTTAATTGAAATTAGATGCATTTTTCCCACTTAGACAAGCATCAGGTGGTTGTAGTTAGCCTCTTGAATGAACTGTGAGGGTTGCTGATTTCTCAGTAGGCACTAACGCAACATAATGTGTTTGCTTCTCTTTCCCACCAGGCGTTTAAAAAACAGCAAGACGGCCACAGAGGGTCCTCGCTACCTGTTCAGGGGGAGAATCAACACTGAGGTGATGGAGGTGGAAAATGTGGACGATGGCACGGGTGAGCGGTCCTGTGAGAAGACTCATTTATTTTGGACAAACAGTTTGGCTTTCTGGCTTTTGGATGCAAATTATTTATTTCAGGCTTAGGAACCTTTACAGTATGGGACTTTATACTTTAAAGTTACCGAAAAAAGAAACAAGATCTACCTATAAACATTTCTTTAGACGTTTCTAGTTACATTTTTTTGGCACTGTGCTTCTGCCGGTAGCTCTTGTGTCTCTTGGCCTCACCTAGCCACTGATTATCATTTATATTTGTAGAAGCCATCATTTCCCCTGAAACAGACCTAGGAGGGACGTAATATCGGGTGTTTTTGGTGAGAGATGGATGGGTTTGGGTCCGGAGAGGGAGGATAAAACACGGGAGGCGCAGTAACTCTTGGGTGTTCTGCACCGCGGGCGGGAGATCTCAATCCGAAATGTGGGGCGACGAAAGTATTTCAGCTGGGATTCCTGGGAAATGAAAGCGCCGTGAGTTTTTCCCAAGGACGCACTCGCTGCCTGAGGTGGAAATACGCCCCCGAGGCGCAGCGTGTGAAGGACACCGCGCCGTAGATGCTTTTAGACGTGATTGTAATTGGTGATTGAATTGGTTTGCTTTTTGTTACACCCGGCGAGGGTCCGGCGGTGGAGCATTTTAAATGTTTTCTACGAGATGGAAATAATCTGGGAGATTTAATTTACGGTCAAGGGTTCATGTCCATTTGCTTTGTTTTTTTCGTCTGTTTCTTCTGTTTTTCCTCTGTTCTGTTTGAGCGAGGGGAATAACTAAATAATGCTGATGAATGGTTCCACACATTGACTGTTTCCACTAACATCGACCACTATACTCATGATTTTTATTGGTTTTATGTCAAATGTGTTCTCCAAATGGGTCAAACAAATTGGATTTGCCGCATTCCACCACTTTGTAAGTAGAAGAACTTTATTACTGCAGTAAAGTCAACCTCATGTCTACGTTGCAGCTGACTACCACAGCAGCGGGAACATCGTAAACAACGGCTGGAAGATCCACAACACGGCCAAAAACAAGTGGTTCGTCTGCATGGCCAAGACGCCGGAGGAGAAGCAGGAGTGGCTGGAGGCCATCATGAAGGAGAGGGAGCGAAGGAAAAGTAAGGAGCCGCTTCACCGTGTTCGGATGAGGATGGGATTTTCATCAGGGAAACTCATTTGTTCTTCAACATCTGTTTTGAATCAATAGCTGTGAATATATGCTGTATTGGAGTAAGTGAGTAAACTACCAGCCAATTGGGAGAGGGATCCGTATCCAAGAGCGTATTCTGTAGACACTGAAGGACGACGCTCTTTGAGAAATTGGTGTCACGTCGAGTCTGGGAGCTTTCCTGAACCCTTTCTCCTTTCCAGGTCTGACGCTCGGCATGGAGCAGGACACGTGGGTGATGGTGTCGGAGAAGGGAGAGAAGCTCTACCACCTAATGACCAAGGGTCACCTCATTAAGGATCGTAAACGCAAGCTGACCACCTTCCCCAAGTGCTTCCTGGGAAGGTAGGATTCCTGCCCTCTAACTCGGAGGCGTTTGGGTTTGTTTCCTCTCTGTCAGTGTAGACTAGTGAGGACTCAAGGTGGATGACTCTGCCGTGAGATCATCCAGG